ATGAATTGCTTCCAGCTTTCTATTGATTCGACCTACCCATCTGGTTTTTGATTTTACAGGTGGACTATTGTCTACAATGCAGTCATTCATTGCAGTGTACAGCCTTTCTGATTAATTGCTCCGAGCTAAATTATCCTCATATCTTAACCTTATTGCCTTTATATCATAAGAAATTGACTGGCCAGTTTCTGCAAGCAGTATGTCTTGAGTTTAATTATTAACAAGTAATTTCGATTTGGTCTGACCAGATAGCAACATTTATCGGTCGGTGTCATTAATGATAAGTAAATAATTTTTACATAGTTACATTTTATTTTTTAATAATTTCAATATAATACAATTCTTGCATAGTATAATAATTGAGTATAGTATAATGATATAATCAATTATAACTTAATGATTATGTAATATAATATACGAGTATATTATTGGAGGAAGTTATTCGACTGTTCAACATCTCATGCGTGATAAATATTCAGAACGCAGTCACTATAAAGTTTTTATCAGTGCCAACGTTTCATACCAAACATTTGGGTCATCATCATGGGTGTGTTTCTAGCACTGATGACCCACATGTTTGGGTTAAAACGTCGGCACTAATAAAAACTTTATAATGACTGCATCCTGGATATTTATCATCCATACGAGTATATTAAATACTTTTTTTTATATTATTTTAATGAAATTTACAACTGTATTACATTAAAAATACAACAAGTAAATGTGATATTGGTAACATGACATGTACAACATGAAGAGAAACTACCCATTGGTAGAACTCAAATTAAAGTTCTATATTAGAAGGTCCCGAGGCCATCTTCTTTTCAGACGCCTCGGAGGGTTATCAGGGATCGAGGATGAAGCAAGGTTTGAAACGAGAGAGTTCGGATGGTTCTGGAGTTTGTTATGGAAAGATAGTTATCTGGATTTGGCCAAATCGGAAACACATGGAACATTAAGATCTTTATGAATGATTTTATTTGTGACAAAGTAAAGAGCGGTGAGGATTTTGGATTGTAAGGATTGGATACGAGAGGAATTCGATGGCTTAGTGGAGTCCCAAAGCTCAATTCCGTAAATCCAAATAGGTCTTATTATTGTCATATATATAAGTCGTTTGTAATTGATTGAAAGCTTAGAGTGTTTGTCTAGTAAGTCTTGGAGTAGTCAGAAACGTCGAGCAGTTTCTTGTCGTTTCAGTCTTGTATGAGGATTCCATGTGAGTCGTTTTTCCAGGTGGAGTCCTAGGATTTGTTTAACTGGGAAAAGTGACGATTTTGGGATGCAGTTGATGGATCATATCTGTTAATATATGATACATGTGTCGTCAGCATAAGTGCTGATGACAGTGTCAGGATGGGTTGGGATGTCAGCTGTATAAACTGTGTAAAGGATAGGACCAAGGATACTACCTTGAGGAATATTAAGTACTAAATGGCAATATATGAGATCTATAAGATTATGTAATATAATATAAAATATAAATGATAGGGATATGAATATATAGCGGTAATAATTTATCGGCCCTTCTCCATTCTAATGCATTGGTGTCTCCTGTATTTAATTATGAGGACTTATTATTTTTATATGTTTTTTTAATAGCGTTAATCTCAATATAAAAGGGATAACTATGTAAAATGGTGTTAAAGTGAATCCTCAAAGGCACTTAAAAACAAGACAAAAACAAAAACACAATTAGGCAATAAGGTATGCAACTTCTTTTAAAGTACTTACAATTATTAGCTCCATTGTATGTATTATTATTTAAAAATAATGCATTTTGTAATTATTTATGTATTTATCTCAGAAACAGTATGGTTTGACAAAAACAAAATTCTATTTTGGGGTAAAAAAAACCTATATTTTATTTATTTTTTTAGTTTATGAAGCTAATTAGTGCTGTAATTCATGATCTTTCTGATTATTATGTAAAGTTGTTTTTTTTATAGGTTATGGCGCTGGTTAGTGTCTAGGCCCGGATCTGTCTGCGGATATCAGATCTGGGCTTTAGCATAGCATTGAAAACCCATAACTTCAGATTTCCAAAAGATTTTTCGAGATTTTAATGCCGTTGGAAGATAGAAGAGAGTTGTTTTTAAATTTGTTATACGGTGGCTTACCTCTGACTGTTGGCCATTAATTGGGATTGTTGTAGAGTCGGGGTAATCGCATCTACCCTCAGAAAAGATTTTTCGCGCAGATTCTGTTTTTAGGCTCCACTTCTTCCATCTTTAAACATCTCTGGAAGATGTAGGAGGCGGGGGCGGAGAAGCCAAGCGAGTTAACATACACGTTGCCAGGCAACCTTGATAAACGGAATAGTATGAGTTGAAATGGTTCAAATGATTATTTCTCAGCCCTCTCCTCAGGTCCGAGAAAAAAAAATATATGGACCAAAAGGCGAGAAAGGGAAAACCCAGAAAAACATAGCTCTAATGGATGTTTGTCCATTCCTAAAATCTTTCTTGTTTTAAGCCTGTCGATAACTGTTTCCACATCCAGTTTATATAGTTTTTGTGCCTAGTAGAACCTATTGTAAGTCGAGGTCCTCAATGTGGTCCATCTTTCCTTTTTTGTTCCGATTTATTAAATAGCTGCTAGATATTTTCTTTAGATAAATGTTGTTTTTAATACCTTTTCTTTTGTTCCTTTCAGGTTTTAATCATTCTTTGTCTTATTCCTGAGTATGATTTTGGTCTGTTTTCGCCCTATCAGTTGCCTTCAATTGTTTTAACTCTTTCTTAGATAAATTCTATTGTGCTCGACCTTATAGCTTGGTTTGAATTTTCTGACTGCTCGCCAAAGTAGCATGATCAGATTTAGCAATGTGGAGGACTTTCATTTTTTCAACCATTGTCTTTTCACTCTTTGGCCTTTTTTTTCTTTTTGCTCATTCTTTAATACCTACCAGAGTTTATCAGCATATGATCAACTCTTCGTTAAGAAAAATTTTCAAGAAAATTTTTGAACATGGCGTTGGAAGAACATGCGAAGAATGAAAGAAGATTTCAGGAACAATTTAAGTGGAGTGTTAGAACAACATCAATTGTTAGAACAAGGCCAAGACGAGTCTTAGGCTTACGCATCCAATCCTGGTCCTGGTCTTGGTCTTGCGAAAGATTCTGTCTTGCAGTCACCTATTAGCCTATTACCATTGAGATATTAGTGTAATTTTTCAAATTGTGGAAACTTAACTAAGCCCGAATGAAAAATTGGAAGAGTTGAATGCAAAAATATATTGGTTATACCAATTCTTTGCATTTTGTAACTAAAATTGTCAAGTATTAGTAACTATTTTGCCTTAATATTTATTTATAATCTAATTTTTTTTTTTTTACAATTCTTGGTTTTGGTCTTGCAACATTCAGGCGGTCTCGGTCTTGAAATTGCAAAGTGCAAGACCTGAGACCTATTTTAGGCAACACTATCGTTGGACATAAATGGTAAATAAAATTATACTGAATAATTTCATATAATTACACCTAAAAGTCATTAAACACTCCCTTCAGAACAAATTGAAGAAAATATTTGGATATGGACTTCGAAGGACGTATGCGAAGAATTTAGAAACAATTTAAGAGGAGTGTTTGAACAGCATCAATTATTTTAAGAATTATCTCTGAAGATGGACAAAGAGCTCGAAACGTTGGACATAGATAATAAATAAAACAGAAGAGAAAATAATTGTATAGAACTCTATTTAAAAATGATCAAGTTGGTTTTTCGTACCACGTAGGTGTACTAATGGGTTTCGTAGGGCAGAAACGTTGTACTGCTGACGATTAGATCCTAAGCGCTGAAAAATTAAAACATCACACTCCATTGTCATGATGGGCTTAAATTGTTATTCTCGATCTAGCCTGGCATTGGAGTTATCTATTTATAATTTGATGGGCTTAAATTAATACAATTTCCGGATTAATGCAACATTTGGTAAAATACTAAATATTAAAATAACTGGAATGAAAATATGTGTTTCAGGTGATTCACTTTTTTCTTACGTTCGAGCTCTCCACGAGTGGTCTGTCTCAGAAGAAGTAATTCTCAAACCATAAACTTCGTTGAAACAGAAATCGGACAATATGCCCGGGAAAAACGATTTTAGCCCAAACCAATAACCTTTGTCCAATAATTTATGAGGAGTGTTATGCATTCCATGCACATGGTTCTAAATTTCTTTATTTCAATAGAATATAAAAGAAATTCAACATTCTGTTGTATTAACATTTTTCCAGGACTCATTTTTAATCCGAATGAAATAGTCCTGAAACATGTGATTCTTTCATTACAACAAATTCTTGCTATTCCTTTAATAATTTTCTAATTAGAGCCAGCTGGTAAATTGACAAAAATTCAGAGCTTCTAATACTCAGCCAGGAGTCAGCCTAGTCGTTTATGGTAAGGACATTTAAGTATCAAGGAATGCTGTGCTGCAGCGAACTCAATATTGTTGAATCTAACTTGTGAATTGTGGTTATGCTGGTGTTCCCATACAATACATTTTTCAGATCGCTTCAGAGAATGAAATGTTTGAAACATTGGACATTTTTATTCAAAGTGTTAAGAAGACTTTAGACGAGGTTCAATAAAGGAATTCAGGAATAAATGGATATTTAAAAGAACTTTGCATAGACAGACTATCGAGCGAGTTATCTTGAAATTTTGTTTAAAAACAACAAGTTTCCAATTGTAAGCTTAGAAATAAGCTAAATTTTCGGTAATACAATGTTACTCAGAAGATTTAAGACAGTACAAGTGTATTAAATTCAGTAAGTGCATATTATTTAGGAAACATTTTCTATAGCTTTGCCAACAAACTCATTTGTTCTCATTGCCTATTAAGTATAGCGGATGTAGGAATCCAGTTAACATTCACAACCAAAACTGCTCAATAGAATTCAATATTTAAATATATATGACTGATAAATAATGTATGTTCTTAAATTAATTGAATTATAACATCTGATTTAAATACAAAAGATTTATACAACCGATATTTTCTATGTCCTCTCTATAATGCCTAAGCGGATGAGATTGGCAATTGAATCCGCAGTTGCATTGACGCTGTTTTTTGTGTATCCACCGCCAGTGAGCATCACAATTGGGATATGCTTTTCCATCGCCTTGCGGAACACAAATTCGTCACGGAGAACAACCGCTGAGGGTGACAGGTACAGCATCCCAAGGCAGTCTCCTTCCAGAACATCGGTTCCTGCGTTATATATAAGAATGTCGGGTTGAAACTCTCTCAGGGACGTTTCCAAACCCTTTCTCAATCTCGGCAAGTAATCTTGGTCTTTTATAAAGAAATTCACTTCTACTTTACAATGTATAGCTTTTCTAGCATTAAAGTCCAATGGGTATATGTGCTGGTTGTACACGTCCATGATGTAAACACAAGGATGGCCAAAGAAGTCTAATTGGTAACCGTTTCCTTGGTGGGCATCCACATCGACAATCATGACCTTTTTGACAACCTGTGGAAAGGAATTGAAGAGGTGGCGGATGGCTATGCTGATGTCGGCGTAGAGGCAGAAGCCACCCCCTTGGTTGGCACTGCAGTGGTGGAAGCCTCCTCCTAGGTTGATGGCCCACCCTCGCTTGAGGGCCAGTTCGCAGGCCATGATGGTACCTTGGGTCTGGTACCTCATCGGCCTCAGGTAATATCTTCGGACGATAATATTGGGCAAAAATGACAGAAATGGTGCTTCAAGGATCTTCGCCACATTCCAACTCCTCTTCAAACTCTTAAGGTAGTCTTTAGTGTGCACTAGAGAGAGCTCCTGTTTATGTACAGGATTTGGCTCAAATGTTTCATCTTCATCAATGCTAATCAACTCCTTTAAACGTTCGAATGTCTTCTTCCATTTCTTAGCATTGAAATTATGGAATTTTTCTAAACCCAAAAATCGGATATTGTAAAACTCTGAATAAACGATGGGATATTTGTTATTTTCAAGTGTTTTTGGAAATTTCTTTTCTACCATAATGAGCTTCGAAAATCTAAATTTAAATTTAGAAAAACATTTTTTTTTTTTTGCCGGATTGGGAGACAGTTATTTCGATTGATCATATGTTTCCTAAAATTATACTGTTAGATTTGTTTTTAATATTGCACTATTTTAATTTTTTTTTCCGATGTAAAAGATTGTACAGTGTACTATAAATATTATATAAAGCATAAAAAGCGTCAATTACAGACAGATGGTTATACTATGACAGACCATTCTGACGCGTTAACTGTATACTTATATATCTTTTACTGCGTGATGACAATTCCCTATGTATTCACTTTACATGACTAATAAATCTTCAAGCTTGATTGAAAGTTTCAGTGTCTTGAAAGTAGGGAATATTTTATAATTTGGATGCTGGGTGAAATAACTGAACTGTACGAACAAGTTTAGGTAGAAGGTATATGAAGTTGACAAGGTCAAACAAGGAATCAACTAGCAAATCAAGAAACTGTTTGTGGTAAGTAAATTTTTCAATTTCTTTACTCTGTCCTTCCCTCAAACGTGTATTAGACCCATATAAATTACCTAGGATCCAACTAATACTATTAAACAACATAAAAAAATAATAAATAATATTTTTGGAGATGCAATGTGTTATTTTTATAAATTGCTCTTGGTTCTATTGCTACTATAGTAACAACTAACATTATTTAAAATAAAAATAAAAAGATAATAGAAAGAAGTGAAAGTGTACAGGGTAAAATGTTGGCACGAACTCTTTCTTAACTCTGGATATAATTGTCTGATACTCTCTGATTATTACCCTCAAGATAATGCGAGATTATAACCTTTAGTTTTACGTCATCAAATTGGTTAAGAAATTCGAATGAAGAAATTCTAACATAAGTTACGATGGCTTTTGGGTTCTAAAACACTGTTGAATGAGCTCGTACATTACTTACTTACCCTTAACTTAATTACTTTATATGATTGAATTACTATAACCATACTTTTTTATTTATTTTTTCTGTTGGCATTACAGACCATGTAGATCTTTTGGCGCCTTAACAAGCCTATTGCATCTCTGCCCGTCATGAGCTATATCTTTCCATTTATCTGCGCGCATCTCTGTTGCATCTTTGTCGATTCTATCTATCCATTTGCTTTTTGGCCTTCCACGTGCTCTTTTGCCTTCTATTGGGGCATTTATTGTTACGTAGAGGCTTCCAGATGGATTGTTACGAGCTATATGCCCCGCCCATCTTAACCACCGTGCATTGCAAGTCCGGCCTTGTATAGATCTCGCTCAGCTTTTTATTGGTGCGAATTCTCCACTGCTCATCCTCACACACCCATACACCGGACCGTAGATCCTGCACCCAGGGCTCAAAGATCGACTTCATCGCAGGCGAAGGTTTGATTGCAAATTACGAAAGTGGCGGCTGATTTAAAGAATATTAGGCCAGTAATTAGAGGATCGAAACGGGAAATCCATTGCGAAAAAAGTTTTTATTTTTTTAACTTCTATATGTGAGTTAAAACATGTAAAAAAACAAAACTGCTAACGCGGATACCAAGGGAAAAATTTTTACAGCCAAAAAAGACAGATTTTTTCTGTATGTTTTAGTTTTTTCACCCATAACTCCTAAACGATGCATCAAAGCCAAAAATTTAATAAATTAAAGAACGCTAAATTTCGCGTGGGACGAGTGCACATACTTTTTAGTTTTGTTATGTGGTAAGGTATAAAACCACAGTGAACCAACGCTGATGTTTACGAAATTTGTCAAAAACTGAGAAAAAATGACTATAAATTGCCCTGCAATTTGGAAATGAGTTACTTAAGAGGAAAACCCAGACAATCAAAGTTGTAGAGCATCAAATTTTGCATCCAGTGTGTACCAACTAATTTAATGTACGTTACTTACTCCGAACAAAATCGGAAATTTCCCCCTGGTTAGAAATTGGTAATGAAGTTAATTCATCTTAAATACTTCAATAGTATGTGTGTCTATTCTATTAAGTTGTTTTTGTTTAGAGTCTAATACATGCTGCATACGCCTCTTTTCCACCTCTCAGCAGCGAAGGAATTTGATAAACGATGTGTCGAAAGATACCGAATTTCATAAAGGAATAACAAATCCTAATTCGAGATATATAATTGGCCTACAGTAAAAATGTCAGTGTTCAGTGGACGAAAAATTTGATGCTCTACAAATTTGATTATATTAGTTTTTCCTACAGGGCCATTTGTAGTAATTTGTTTCAGTTTTTGACAAATTTAGTAAAAATCAGCGTTGGTCGACCGTGGTTTTATACCATACCACGGAACCAAATTATAAAGTTTATGTGCTCGTTTGACGCACAATTAAACGTTGTCTAATTTTTTAACAATTACATTTTTCGCTTTGATGCATCTTTTCGGTGTTAATTGCGCAAAAACAAAAAGATATCGAAAAAATCTGAGTTTTTTGGCTGTAAAAAGGTTTCTCTTGTTGCCACGTTAGCAGTTTTGTTTTTTACATGTCTAAGCCCATATGTATAAATTAAAAATATAAAAGCTTTTCTCACATTTTTCTCAATGGATTTCCCGTTTCGATCCTCAAATTATTGGCCTAATATTCTTTAAATCAGTCGCCATTTTTTAAAGCAGCGGCTCTGGAAAGGCAGACTTTCGTAATTTACATTCTTACCTTCGCCTGCAATCAGGTCAATTTTTGGGCCCTGGCTTCAACGCTATGCGGAGAATCCTTCTCTCCCATGTGAATAGCTTCTTTTCCGAGGCCTTAGAGATTACCCGAGTCTCAGAACTATAGGTGACAACGGGTCTTATGACTTTCTCGTACACTGCGATTTTTGTCCGAAGAAAAAAAGGGAGTTTTAATTTAGAAATTGCTTCATGGCAAAGCAGCATCTATTTCCAGCAGTCATTCTTGCTTTCAGTTCTTCCGCCATATCACTTTCTGTAATAAGAACTGTAAATTCTTAAAGGTTTCGGCAGCTTTCAGGTTTTGATTACTTAATATGACACATTTCCCTATTCCACTATTTATCAGAACGAATATATTAGTATTTATAAATCTTCTAATCTAGCACAAAAAGTGTAAAAATATGCAATTTGATACAACAAAATTCAAAATCGTGCAGTTTGGAACAAAAATAACAAAACATGCTATATCAAATTTGAAAATTGTATTCTAAACATCATGAAACGGATAAATAAGCGATTTTGAAGTTTTTACAAGAACCGGTCTCTAGTTATGAGTTAAAATCACGGTGTCGGGAGGACTTTCATCATAAATCCTTCGCCCGCTCCCTGGCCCGGAAAGATTAACCGGAAGAAGAAGAGGAAATAAAGATGCATTGACAAAAGTACCTAACAACCGACTCGTTCCATTGAATCCGAACCGAATTGGATCGTTTTATAAAATTTCAAATAGTTACTTAGATATTTGGAGATCAATAAATCTGTAATCCGTATTTTACAATTATAATTATATAAAAATATAATGTAGTGAAAGTATTTTTTAAATAATGTTATCAATATTGAATTAGATGTAGAGATCATGCATATAATGTTGGAGAAGATTTTTTTTTTATCAATCATATCAGTTTGCGTTAATGGCTCATAAAAACTACTTTTATGCTATATTTTAGTTAGTTATTTTTTCCGTTGCCATTATAGAACATGTTAATCCTTTACAACCTAATGAATAAAAAAATTAAATATGAACAGGATTGGACATAAACATTCAATTTTTTTACTATCACTTAATTGCCCTGGCCTATATTAAAACCATTTTCTGTACATGGAGTTGCTTGCTTTCTAATATTAAATGATCATTGTAATATACATAAATATGTTCAAATATTTATGCATAACCTATTCTGTTGTAAGAACTGGTAAAAATGTTCTTTTCAACAACAGAGACTGCTTTTACTTATCAGCCGTTGTCGATCGTTATTAACAGAACGCTCCATTATTTCGGATACTGAGCTGAAAAGCAATTTACTTTCCGTCACGACACAGATCTGTTGTCGCTGACCATCCGACCGGAAATAAAGCGTATAACCTTCACCTTCAAATCAGCTGTCCAATTATCGTGTTTTTTTGCTCCCTCTTTAGCCTTTCACTTGATATTATTTAAAATTAAAATATGCATTACTTGTACTTTATCCAGTGGAATCAAATTAGGAAAAAAAGTAATAAATAAACTATGACTGTTTTTCTACTATTTAATTAAATTTGAGGGGTTAGAAAAAAAAATCTACAAGAACGACGTAGAGAGAATTTTTTTCTAGAATCATAATAACAAAATATAATTTCTAATAATTATTAATACAGTAATTACTCTCACCCAAAAAAAAAAGAAAACAAAATATGGCCATAATCGATAATTTTCACTTTATATTATTATTATTTTTTTTTTTATCCGTTCATGATATTTACGAATTAAAAAAAAAAAATATACACCCAGGGCGCTCAGAAATATGATAAGAAGAAAACGCTTGTTGAGAAACTACCCACTAGTAGCACTCAAATAATAAATTCACACAAGAAGATCTCGAGACCACCTTCCTTTCACTCTCCTCGGAGGTAAAATTTTAAACATCAAAGAATATATTTAGTTTTTTTGTTGTCTGTCTGTAGTCCAAACGGAAATCTACGAGTCGGGCACATTACCTGTTAATCCAAGTTTTATGAATTTTTAGATATTACAGATACCGGAAATGGATAGCTCGTTATGGCGAAAACTTGGGGAAAAGTTGAAGATACTGAATCAATTTGATCCAGTTTCATTCTTCACTTCCTCTTTCATATGAGAAAATCTATTTTCATTCATTTTTCTGTATTTAAAAAACGGCTAGTTTGATTCAAACAATAGTTGGGGGAAGTTTGGTAAAATTATATACAATATCTTAGCTAGATTCGATTTGCCTCATAAACCTCAAAGAAATAAGATTAACATTCCACAACTTTTTGACTATGTAATTATATGAAGTATGCCTTAAAACAGCTTGAGGATTTT